TGCTAATTGAAAGGTCAGTGGTTCCAACCCACCAGGCACTCTGCGGAAGAAAGATATGGCAGTCTGCTTCCACAAAGACTTATAGCCTTAGAAATCCTATGGGGCAGTTCTGCTCTGTCCTACAGGGTCACTGTGGGTTGGAATCAACTCCACAGCAACAGGTTTGTATTTTGTTTTGTTTTTTTAAATTATTCCTAGCTAACCGAAGTAAGAATGCAGGAAACCTTGTCTCCATGGAGAAGATTTGGGCAGCCTGCTGCCTGAAAATCAAAGCCCAAAGAAAACAAAAACAAAACTCATTTCTACCATTAAAAAATGCAAACCATCACTGTTGTTTTCTCCTCAGATGTGCGTAATTCTACTCCTTCTACTGTAATTTCCATTCCTTCTCCAGATATATTTTGTATGGATTTGAAAGCTGTTACAGCATTTGTTATTCAAATTAAACCATGTGTTGTGAGTGAAACTGGGGAATTTGGTAAGCGTTTCATTTGCAATTTCCAATTGACCTCCCCAGCCCTCTTACATTAAATGACATAAAACAGATTATGCAGAGCATGTCCTCTGTGAGTTCTTTCCCTCAGAAAAAGAAAATAATTTTCATAAAATAGCTAGACACTAAAGAACAGTCCCTAAAGGATGAAGCGCCCATCTGATCGCAGAATCTCAGAGCAAGAATCAACCTCAAGCATTATCTAGTCTAAAAAAAAAAAAAAACCAAACCCATTGCTGTCAAGTCAAATCCAACTCTTAGCAACCCTATAGGACAGAGTAGAATTGTCCCATAGGATTTCCAAGGAGCGGCTGGTGCACTGGAACTGCCAACCTTTTGATTAGCAGCCAAACCCTTAACCACTGCGCCACCAGGGCTCCTAGTGTCTTACAATTACGTCTCCCTCCTGAGGCTTTTCCTGACCCATGAGATGTAAATAAACTTCTGTTCCTAGGAGCCCTCATCACTCTTTACCTATGTTACCCATGCAGCATTCTCACTTCTGCTAGCCTTGTATTTTGAAGTTAGCCCAGATTCTTGCAGCTCACAATCTCTTTCTTTAAAAAAAAAAAAAAAAAACCAACTCTGAGTTTCAAAACATTATTGAAAATCGAAACCCAAGAATGCCTTGATGTATATTAGTTTTCCAACTTTGGCACTCCTGATGTTTTTGACCAGATCATTCTTTGTTGGGGGCGAGGGGGAGGGGGCAAGGGGGCAGCTGTCCCGTGCACTGTAGTATATTTAGCAGCACACCTGGCCAGTAACTTCTCCCTTCCTCCACCAGTATGACAACCAAAAATGTACCCCCCCACAACATTGCCGTATTTCCCCAGGGGCAAAATCACACCTGTTGAGAAATGCTGGTGTATATGGTTTGTGCAGAAACAAATAATGAATGATGATAGTAAGAGCCAGTTACCATGCACACAACCTCTCTGACACTAGGTGTTTTAGTTTTCTAAAAATCTTTGGCATTTAGGTGGCAGTTGTTCTGATAGTACTCAATCTGAATGCTCTTCAGGGTTCCCACGCCATGTTATTTGCTAAAAGAATGGAAAAAAAAACAAAAAGAGTCCCATGCCAGTCCTGGAGTAGTGGAAAGTGGGATGCTGCAGAAAATGAGGAAGTCTGAATTGAATTCTGTGGTCCTGATGCAGGAGTAAATTGGCTTCACCAACATCTGCATCATTCCAGGGTTGAGATGGCTATATGGGTGTTGTCTTCCTTCATGACTCTGTGTTCATCCATCCAAAAACTTAGGTAGTCAGTTAAAGAATCCATCTAACACAGAGGAGTTACTCAACAAATATTTGTTGAATGATTTCATAAATGGTGTTTTATCTTTTGCCTTTTGGCTTAGACAGTTGGGTACTTTAGTCTGTGCTGGAACTAAAAATAGCCTTGTTCAAATCAGTTGGAGGATGTAAGATGTCCTAGAAGTCTCAAAGTCTTTTGTATCCCTGACTCCACACCCTCAAGTTTAAAAAAAAAAAAAAAAAAGAGTGTGTGTGCGTGTGTGCGCGCACTACAGAAGCAAAGATTTTTAGGACATACTACCTCGGCCCTAGGGACTCAAAGAAAGAAGAAGGACTACATTTTATGCCAGGCTCTGTGCTGGTGTATTAAACATATTATCTCTTTTGTATTCACAATGTTACCTTAAGGTGGATATTATCATCTCCATTTTATAGATGTAAGAACAGAGGAAATAAGTTGCTCAAAGTGAGACAGCTGCTAAAGTGGGGAGTGGAAATTCAAGTCAAGCTCTAAATCTGAGTTTTAAGCTGCCTGAACCCAGTTATATGCCTCTCCAGACCCACATGGTCCCGTATGCCCCCCAGGCCTTGGTTGCTTGAAGAATGGAGAACCTGGTCACCACTGCCCTGCCTGTTACCACATCTCCGACATTGCTCACATGCCTTGCAGGGTCTTCAGAGCTGAGGGCTGGGCTTCAGCGCAGCCTCTGTTATGCTGACTGCAGAGCCAGCACCCAGGTCCCAGCTGACCAAACCTACATAGGCTCTGGCTGCTTTCAGCACTCCTAGATTCAGATGATATGCTGGGCCATGGGGCATGGGATCTGGCTTCCCAGTGGCTACCCAGAAGGGCTGGGCAACACAACCAAGAAGTAAGGAGATGGGTTGGGGGAGACTTAATACCTCATAAATAAAAGACAAAAGACCAAAAGGAGCCAGCAGATAAATGCCTGTCTTTATTCCCCTGGCAGACTGGAACTCTTAATTCACAAGACACTGGGTAGAGTACTTAGAAGTGTCCTGCCTCAAAAATGGGGAATAATTAGCCCTAAACTAAACACTGCTCTGGTCTGCCCTAACAAATCTTAAAATTAAGAACTGAAGGGATCAGACTGTTTCCAAGGTAACTAAACTGTATCTCAGAACAAATATTTATAGTAATAAGAAAATACCCAGCACCCAACAAGGAAAAATTGACAATAAAAAATTAACCAAGCATGCAAAGAAACTGGAAAATACACCCTGTAGAGAGGGAAAAAAAACAGTCAGAACCATCTCAGAACTAACACAGATGTTAGAATTAGCAGAGAAGAACATTAAAACAGTTATTATAATTATATTCCAGATGTTCAAAATCTTAAATAGAAACATGGAAGATTTAAAAAAAACAAAGACTCATTTCAAAAGTCTAGAAATGAAAGCTACAATGTCTGAGATGAAAAATACCCAGGATGGGATTAACAGTATATCCATACAATGGAATACAACTCAGCAACAAAAATGAATGAAATGTTGATGCAATAACATGGATGAATCTCAGAATAATTGTGCTGAGTGAAAGAATCCAGGAAAAAAAAAATGTTGCACACTGTAAGATTCTACTTATATAAAATTCTAGAAAATACAAGCTCATCTATAGTTACAGAAAGCAGATCAGTGGTTACCTGGGGAGAGGGGCAGGAGAAAAGAATTACCAAAGGGTATGAGGAAACTTCTGGGGGTCATACACATGTTCATTATTTTGATTTTAGTGATAGTTTCACAGCTATATACATATGTCAAAACTTATCAAATTCTACACCTTTAATATGTGCAGTTTACTGTATATCAGTTATAACTTAATAAAGCTGTTTAAAAAACTAAAGAGACAAACATATTAAACAAACCACTGAACAGCTTGGAAAAGCTGGGATTCATAAATATAAGCCACAGATTATTTAAAAATGTTTAAAATGTGAATTTTAGAGAATGGTAAAATAAATCGTTAAATCCATAATTTTTGTTACATCTATAGCATCTAAAGATTGTTCAGTTGAGGAGCACTTTCTTTCTTTTTTTAACAATAAATTAGAAAATATTTCCCGCTGTTGTTGATAACTATATATTTTCATGGTTTTATTTATTTATTTATTTTCATTATTGTACTTTAGATGAAGGTTTACAGAACAAACTAGCTTCTCATTAAACAGTTAGTACATGTATTGTTTTATGACATTGGTTAACAATCCCAGGGGTCAACACTCTACCTTCTCGACCATGAGTTTCCTATTACCAGCTGTCATGGATTGAATTATGTCCCCCCAAAAATGTGTGTATCAATTTGGCTGGGCCATGATTCCCAGTATTGTGTGGTTGTCCTCCATTTT